GTAACCGGTTCGGTTGAGACAGAGCCCTAGTTGGGGACACCTGTTTCACCGGGGACCTGCTCCGTCCACTAGTTGACCGAGGCTCGGTCGAGAGCCTTGATGTTGACCGAAGGTCGTTTAACAGGGCTTGTTGCCACTGTCGCTCCTCTTCGCTATCCTCCGCGCCGTAAACGTTAGGGTCATCATCATTACCTCCCGAGTTGTCAGGTTCGGTTTCACGTTAGGGTCATCATCATTACCTCCCGAGTTGTCAGGTTCGGTTTCACGGATGAGGTCGATTTTGGGCTGGCCTTCCTCCAGGGGTGGTTCGCGGATGTATACGGCCGGGTTGATCCTCGGGTTCCGTAACAGCTGGACATAGTCCAAAACCACCCTCGGTAACCTCTGTGTTCGAAGTACCTGCATTTCGCTCCGGAGGGCCATAAGTCTTCGGATATAAGTGTCGCGGTCGGCCGCAAAGTCCAAGATCTTCTGGGTTATGCGGTTCCGGTCTCTTGACGACATCTTATGTTCGAGCTGTCCGCCGGAAAGTTCACTCTTCTTGGATGATCCGGTAGAACTCTGCCTGCTTAACCTGGTCCACCAGTTGGTTGTGGTAGGCTAAGGCTTCCCGTTCCGTTGCGGTTAGGTCCTGTTGGGTCACCTGTAGTACTCACTGAGGCTGGGGGGCCGTCTTGTGGCTCTCACCCGGCGTCGGTCGTACCTTCTGACGGGGCTTCGATGGGTCTGAAGTCGTTTCCCGCATCACAATCTCTCGGACCTGTTCGAGGGTCCGGACTTGTCTCGGTGGTGATGAGAACAGCTTCCGTTTCGGGCCTGCTTCCTCATCCCTGTCCTTCGACCGAGGCTTCCTCGCGAACTTAGGCGAATCTGGGCCTCCGGGCTGATGAATAGCCCTACCGTCCGGGGTTCTCTCCGGGTCATCGGACTGTTCAGTCGGACGTCGGATGACGAGCACCTGTTCCGTTCGTTTTGACCGAGCCGAACCACCTATTGGGGGTACCGGCAGTGTTGTTGGCCTCGGTGCCTTACTTGTACTCGGTGGGTCCGGGGTTAAGTCCCGTGTCCGAGCGTAAGCTTCCCGTTCCGCTGTGGAGGGTTCGAGGTTCTGTTCTTCACCTTCTGAGGGTGGAACATCCATAGGTTCACCGGGCGGCGTAGCTGGTCCTGCGGGTGGCTTAGCCTGTCGCTTGTTACGGTAGTAACCCTCGGTGATCCGCTTTATGTCTTGCTGCGCCTGTATTAGGGTCTCCTCGGTGTCCGAAGATCTCGCTACCGATAGGGTAAGTATGGTGGCAATGGTCTTCCGGCTCGTGTCCAAGGTATTGGTGTCAACGTCGAGCCTTGCCGCCCTAGGGTCCCAGGCGTTCATAGCATGCAGTTGGGCATGCATCTCATGGCTGGCATCCTCGGCTCGCTGAAGTGCTCGTCGGATGGTTTCCTCCATTCCGGGTACTACCAGTGGCCAATTTCCTGACGGTGGAGTAGCCGTCGAGGGTGGCTTAATGGTCTGTCTCCGGGTTGGCTGGTCAGATGTACCCTGCTCTGGGGGTTCAATCTGCCTAATCCGAGACTGATCTTTGGGGGCTCGGTATGCCTCTCGCCGTTTTTTGGCCTGCTTTTCTTCCTCATAATCCCGGATGAAGCCCGAGAGCCAAAGCACGCATGATTGCAGCTGAGCCTGGCTGTACTGGTGTTTCGGAGTTTCCGGGTGTAGAAGTATCCGAGTTGCCCGGGTATGGTTCTCAACTCCGGTGATGTCACCATCCAATTTGAAGAATTCCGCGCTATGACGGTCGCAGCAGCCTCGGCGAGTCCGCATCTCAGTCAAGATATTATTAGCCCGAGTCATGGCTTCAACTATGTAAGGTTGAGCATCGGGCGGCAGGACTCCCGGGTCCAATATGTTTTCCATCGTCCGCACCATTGAGCGGGGTGAAAGACGCTGAGTCGGTGCAACCTGTTGGGTCGCTACCGGCCGTTCCGGTTGTTGCAATAAATTTGCAGGGGGTTGGGTCGGCGGAGTAGCCGGAGGCTGAGTTGCCTGGGTTGCCAAGGGTTGGGTCGGCTGAGTGGCCGGAGGCTGAGGTGGAACCGTTTTGCGGCTCTCTTCCTCATGCTTCCTCTTTGCTAGTGCCACTTCTAAATCGGCTTTTAGGCTCTCCAGGTCCATTGTGGCTACTCGGTGTTGGTCTTGGATCCGCTCCTTCAGCTTCCTCTGAGCCGGGGTCCGATCCTCCAGTTGATTAGCCTGAGCGGATAAGTCCCGGACATAGCCTTCGTTAAGGGCTATGTCGTCGCGCAGAGTTTGGATCTCCTTTCTGTCGGGGCCGGTTGAAGTTGAGGTGGCTCAGGTGGGTTGACCCTCGAGGGTCCGGGGGTCCGAGGTAGGGGAAGCCCCGATGGTTTAGCCTGTTGAGGTCCGGGGGTCCGAGGTTGAGCCTCCTTGTGGCTTCTTTCCTCTAGCTTCCTCCGGAAGTTTCTCGGCGTGCCCACGAGCCATGTCGCGCTGTTCGGTGATGGTCCGTAGAGTCGCATCGCCCGGCTGCAGCGTGGCAATCCGCTGGGTCAGAAGGTCCGCCATTAGCTCGGTTTCGGCTAAGTCCCTCCTCAATTCTTCGGTAGTTATGGTGATACCGAAGTCCATTTCCGGTGGGTCCTCGAACATCTCGATGTCCGGTGAGGGTATCGGTGACGGAGGTTCTGACATTGGTGATGCGCTTCGGTGTGAGCCAGGGCCGGGGGTCACTGTTGGCTCCCCATCACGGCTACGGCTCCGGCTCGGACTGTATTCCGAGTATTCATCCGAGTCCAGGTCGCCTTCTTCGGCGATGCGTCTACCGAGGTATCCAAGTAGCGCATCCATTCACGGATGTCGGCCGGTGCTGTCGGCATTCCAGCCTCGGTGAGTCTGGCCACTTGACGGAGGTTTCACGTCAAGTTGTTCCGGTCATTCAGAGACTTGGCCTGTTCACGGTCCGTGTCAAAGTAGGGCTTGCCCTTCCACTTGTTTCTACGTTCTAAGGTGGATAGGAGCGTATGGCCCTTTTCCAAGGTCTTTCTGATTTCTTGCCATTTCCAGAGTCTGGCTTCGGCTTCATCGGGCCGGTTGGATGGATCATCGGAGAGGACTATGCCGTAATTGTCGGCACGTCGCTCAATGGAAAATAAGAGTCGCGGGAGCTCGCGGGTTTCCCAGGGTTCTGTTGGGAGCCCTTCCCAGACGAGACCTGTGATGTCGGCTGTCTCCCGGTTAACTTCAGTAATTAAGTCGGAAACTCGTCGGGCAGCCTCTTGTCCGTTGAGGCTATAGGCCTGTTCACGGCGTCTTATCAACATCGTTATGATGTTGTCGCTGAGCCTCCTCACTCGGTTGACTCTTTCCCAGAGTGCCATTCTGTCTCTGGCTCGGGGAGCACGAGTCCTTGTTGCCGAGTTTTGCGGATAGACACAAACGCGTCTGACTTGGCTACGTCGCGTGGGGTCGGAGATGCCGGGTTTTGGTTGTCATCGATGATCCTACGCAGATTCCGGAATGCTTGCCGGGACTGCTGAATCTGTTGCGGGGTGAAGTTAGTAACTTCAGTTGACCGTCGGAGCATGTAGGAATCATGGATGATACGGTTAATGGTTAATTCTTGGTCCAAGTACCGAGGGTCGGTCGGTAAAGTTTACTGGTGCTCGCGGTTAAGTCGCACCGCCAAGTCATCCGACTCCCTCAAGGTTGCGTAAACCTGTAGCCGGCTCGGGCTCGCTTCCCTGTCATCCGGGGTCCTTGTTGTTCCAGCCGAAGCCCCCGTACTTGTGTGGTTGCGACGGCTGATCCCCGTTCTGTCCCTCGGCTCGTCAATCCAGGCACATTATCCACTGTTCTAGGGGGTGCCAGAGGATGTTCGTTTCGAGCCTCTTCGATCTGGGCCTTCAGAATCCAGTAGTGGGTGTGGATCAGGTGCAGTTGTTGTCCTATTAGTGGGGTTCGCGGTAGCAGTTTCCGGAGTATTTCTACTACGTGGGTCAGAGAGCTGACCCACGTCCGTTCATTCTTCGGGTTCTCCAAGCCTTCGACTCGCATCTGGTCTCGCATTTGTTCCACCAGAGCTTCGGTATGTCCGAGCAGTGCGTGTACTTCGGTTATCGAAGGGTTGGGAGGAGGGTTGGTCGATCCAGCCAAAGCCCCCGTAGTTGCGGTTGCTAAGGCTGGCCCTCTCTCATTGGCTGGAGTCTCGGAGGTTGACTTCCGGGCTTTAAGTATGGCCCGGGTGTCCTGGATGTACTGTTCCAGCTCCTTCATCTCCGAGTTCAATCGGGTCAATTCTTGCGCGAAGTTAGGATCGCTCAACTTGAGAGCTTCTATCTTGCGCTGGACGAGGCTCCATTCGCTTTCAGCTTCCATAAGACCCAGTGTGAGTTCTTCCGAGGGTCGAATCTGCCTTCGCGATCCGGCCGAAGATGCAACCGAAGTCGGTTCAACCGTAATTGCGGTCGCCGAAGGTCTGGCTGTGGAAGGTCCGGCTGTCGAGGGTTCAACTGTCGGGGGTCCGACCGACCGTCCCCGCCGCTAAAATTCTAGCGGACTCGCTGACCGTTGCGGAGGCTAAATCCTCGTTGAGGTTCCGAGTTGTGTCCAAAGGGTTATTCCGGTTAGTAGGGTTATCCTTATCCGGTGGTTCTGTTGGATGGCAGAGGTCGAATGAGTCTCCGGAGCTCATCGACCTTAGGCGTTTCCCTGGGATGTACCCGGGACAGGCCCGCCAACTGCCGGTTGGTATCCGCCCGGGCCCCTATTGGGGGCCGGGGACGGCGGCAGTTGCGACCGTTGGGCTGGTGGCGGGGTTGCCAATGGGGGTCGACCACCATTCTGGGGGTTCCCTCCGTTTCCCTGGCCAGGCTGTCGGTTAGGACTGCATTGGCCGCCGAATCCGCCGGCATTCTGCTGACGGGGGCGCGGGGGTGGTACGATGGTCGGGTAGTTCTGATTCGCCGAGCCTAATGGCCATCCATTATCGTACCGGTACCTCCAGTCCAGGTACCATCTCCGGTTTGGGTTGTCTTCCAGCCGGAGGTTGGCATAGCCACAACTCTGCTTGGTTGTGGTTGCCCCATAGGCAGTGACCGCAGGAAAATATTCCGTCCTGGGTCCACTGAAAGAACTTGGCTTCCATCCGATCGACGTAGGTTGCCTGCTGGCGAGCCTCCTGCTGTGGTGTCCGAGGCTGCCGTTGCACATTCTGGGGCTGGCCGCCTCCACCCGCGCGGTTGCCGAAGTTTCCGCGGCCGCGATTCCCGCCGCCACGTCTTCCGCCGGAGCCACCATATTGTGAATCTCCACCGCGTCCATATCCGCCTCCGAAGCCGTACCCCTGGTTCTGAGGTTGGCCGAAGCCGGAGTTCTGGCCATAGCCCTGTTGGGGCTGGCCATAGCCGGGGCTCCGAGGCTGGCTGTAGCCCTGATGGGGCTGGCCATAGCCGGAGTAACCCTGGCTCTGTGGTTGGCCGTAGCCGGGGCTCCGAGGCTGACTCGGTTGGCCGCTATTTCCATAGGCTGGCGGCGTGACCATGATCCCTGTTGGGGCTCCATTCAGGTTCATCGCCGCCATTGCCGCCCAAGTCTGTTCGATCTGACCACGGGCTTGAGGGGGTGGTGTCGCCGGAGGGCTCTGTCGGTGAAGCCCCGGTTGCACGTTCTGGTAACCTGGCGAGTTGGGTTGGATGTATCCGGGAGCCGGTTGAGTCACAGGAACGGGAGTCGCCATCCTGACGGTGATGTAGTTGGTGGAGTTGCCACCTTTAACTATCTGGTACATCGGCTTTCCCCGGGTGAAGTCCCGTACGTAGTCCCGGAACTCACGTGTCGTCTTCGGCATTCGGACGTCCAGAGCTGCCCGAAGGATTGGCTCCGTGACGTTCGTCCGCAGCTAGAAGACCGCCAATTCATCGGTGAGGTTGCCTCGTTGTTTGAGGTTTATGATGGCGTCATAGTACTGCTCGGGGGTCTCTTGTCCCAGCATGTACTTTCTGGTGGTGATGTCCGCCACAGCTGTGACCTGCTTGTCTGGGTCCATGAACCGGGCCGCAAATTGCTGCAGCCAGTAGTCCACGGTCCATCCGTTTTCTTCAGGTTCCAGAGTTGACTGGTTCTGGTACCATTCCAGGGCTTGTCCAGTAAGGGCGCCATCTAGCTCCGTCATAAAGGCTACGTCCGTCATTGCGACGCCGTCAGCCTCCGAGCGATAGATTCGCCGGATCTTTGTGATCCAGCCTTCCACCTTGGCCCCGTCGCCGTTGAACTTCGGCAACTCTGCCCGATTCTTCCGAGCCAAGATCCGGTTGTTCCGTTCTTCGTATCGGCGCCGGCCTTCTTCATAGCCTTCTTGTCGGGCTTGAGCAATGTCTTGCTCATCGGGTGGTGGGGTCTGGCGCTGTTGAACCGCCGGCATCGCCTGTTGGGCTACCAGAGAATTCCAAGCCACTGGGTAGGCCGCTTGCTGGTTCTGCGCAGCCGGGGCGGGTTGAGGTGGGTAAGGTTGTGGTTAGGGTTGAGGGTATGGGTTACCAGGGGTGCCGGCTGGGGCTGTCCAGGTCCGGGCGGAGGATTCTGCGCTCCATACCCCTGGTTCGGCGGTTGGTTCGGTGCCACATACCCAGGCATCCTCTGAAGGACTCTGTTGTGGTCAAGCCACATCCCCGGTGGTATGACCACATATTGGTCAGCCTGTGGCACCGGACCTATTGGGTCCATATTGCCTTGCCGAGGCTGGTAGGGTCCAGCGCCAACAGCGCCGGGGCCAACCAGACCTATTGGGTCACGGTTGTCTGGCCGAGGCTGCTATGGTGCGTTATCCGGATATCCGGGGCGTACCCAGTTGCGCTGCCCTTCCGATACGGGTTGCACTTCGATCCGTGGCGGGTACGTGTTCTGGGAGCCTGAACGTTGTCGGTCCCGGTTGGAATTCCCCGAATTAGGTTGTGAGCCTCCCGCCGAAGCGTTCGTCGGCGATCGAAGTCCCATGCCAGGTCCATTTACCGGGGCTCGGAGGTTCGAGCCTCGGGGCTGGTCTTGTCCGGTTGAGGTTGATGCTACAGGCCTAGTGCCGGTTGAGAACATCGTTGTGGTAGATGTTCCTCCGTAGGCCGTAGTCGTTGTGGTAGTTGACTGGGTCTGTGCATTGGGGGTAGCCGTCGAAATGTTTCGTTCCGGCTCCGGGGCTGTCGGTACCAACGGCGGCCTCGGTGTAGGTCCAACCGAAGGTTCATTCCGGAGCATTCCGACCTGGTAGATTCGACTTTCGAGAGCCCCGTTTGACCTGTTGGGTTCAGCAGGGGGTTGTCTCGACGTGGGTAGTCATCAATTGGGTGGTCCGGTAGGACGGGGGTTGCTCGGTCATAGAATCCTCGAGGTAAGTCTTTTCCTCCTTCAGGCACGCAACCTCGATGCCCAGGTCTTCTCGTTCCTGGACCAGCTGATTGTACTTGTCGCACAGGCCGGTGAACTTGTTGGTTACATCCGTGCTGAAGTCGTAAAGTTCCTGTTGGTACTCTAGGAGGCGGTCCTGGTCTATCTGCAGTTGGGTCTTCTCGGACTCTAACTGTGTGATCCGGGCTCGTTGAGCCTCGATGACTGCGAGATTCTCAACGCGAGCCTCTTCGAACCGGGCTGTTTCATTCTGAAGATGGGTGGTGAGGGCAAGGATCTGCTGACCAAGTTGGGCCTGGCATAGCCGAAGGTCTACGGCTATACCCTCCGGGTCATTCTGGTTTTCCCGGAGGTTCGCGTAGGCCGTCCGGAGGAAGTCGAGTTCCGAATTTATTTCGTCCATCTCCCCCTCCAGGCCGATGATGCCCTGTTTAAGGTGATGGTTCTCCTCGCGGTACTCATCCACCCGGTCGAACATCTTATGGAGTTCCGCCGGGCCAGCCTCGGAGTAGCCGAGGGCCTGTAACCGCTGCTCCAAGTCTTCGCGCAGGGTGGCCACTTTGGCCCGAGACTGCTCCAGCATGTCCTGGAGTCTGGTGACTTCGGCTTGTTCATGACGGCAGGGCTCCTCAGTTACTTGTAACTGGGCCACTAACCGTGCAATCTCCTGGGTAAGGTCGTCAATGACGGTGTTCGCACGTTCAAGTTCGTCAGTAAGCCTCTTGCGCTCCTGCTTGTGCGATGCTACCGTCTGGGACAGAACATTCTCCGTCGATTCGACGATGTTTTGTCCGGCCAAGAGCTGGTTTTGCAGCTCATATATCCGTTGACGGAGGACCTGTGGGTTGTCGATCTTCTCCGGAGGGGTTTTTGTTAGGTACCGCCGAGGTGTATAATCCGAGGTTCCAATGTGTGAGCCTGGATGCTGCTTCGGTGACGGTAACCTGAAACCCTTTCTGCTGTCCGGACGCTCGGTCACCTTATTGGGTAACACGGTTGCGTCGAAGACATCGTCGGTCGGTGATGGAGTCTTATCAGCCCCGAGGTTCGAAGGTTTAAACATCGGTGGTGTGGCCGGAAGGTCCGAGGTTGGTTTTGCGACCTTCGGTGAAGCCGATTTCGACTTACGTGCAGCCTGTGAGGCTTCAATCCGGCTGGCTCGGGTTGGCGTAGGTTCACTGCCGAGGGTTTTGGGTTTCGGGGATGACGGTCCGCCAGCCGAGGTTAAGTTAACCTCGGTAACCGAACCCTCAACCTCGTCTACGGAGGTTGCAACCGACGAAATCCGGAATTTGACCGGGGAAACGGCTTTCTTAGCTGAGGAAGTGGGGGTTGCCGGCCGGGTCTTGGGTGTTCCAACCTGTTGGGTCGAAGTCCGGGCCCCTGTGTTGGGGGTCCGAGCCTCGGTGTCCGAGGCTCGAGCCTCGGTGTTCGAGGTTCTAGCCGACTGCAACCTTCCCGTTGAAGATTTTGAAGTCCCCGAGGTCGGCTTCGATGAGTTCGAAGTCCGAGTTGGAGTCCCGGTAAGGGTCCTCGGGTCCGGTGTGGTCGCCTTCGGAGTCCCCGAGAGTCGCTTCGGGTCCAGCGACGTCGATTTCCGGCTGTTGTCCGAAGATTTTGGGTTATTGCCCGTTGGTTTGGGGCTTTGAGCCAGGGTCGGTGGGGACTTAGTCGGTGAACCCGCCTTGTGGGTCACCCCCCGGGTCGGTGATACCGGACCCTTCATTTGGCTCGGGCTCATCTGGCCCTGCCTCGGCTTCGGTCCAGCCATGCTGCCCTGTTGGGGCTGCACAGGGTCACCCATGTCTGGTGACACCTCGGAGCTACTTAGCGCCGGGCTCGAGGCTCCATGGTCCGGGGTGATGGCCGGAATGAAGACTGGCGAGGCATCTATTGGGTGCACAAGTCCAGCCGCAGGCTCGGAGTTTGCAGTTTGACCTATTGGGTCATGCAGAACCTCCGGCTCAGCCTGTGGTTGCTCGAGGAACGTCCGGTCGTGTGCGTCCTCGAAGCTATCCTCCGGCGATTGGGTGAAGTCGTTCGCCAGGATCCGCGCATCTCGCTTCTCCTTGGCCGATTTAGTCGACTGATTGGATTTGTTGGATTTGCCGGACTTACTCGATCGGTTGGAGTCCGACGAGTGAGGTTCGTTACCCGGGCAAGCATGACGGAAGGTATACCCGCCTGCGTTATCCCGTCGGGCGTAACCTTGGTCGAACTTCCGTTCGTATGGGTTGTCTCGACCGGACATCTGCGGTGGTGGCTCTATTGGAGCCTTGAAGTAGCCTCCGGGTTGTCCCTTCGGCCAAAAAGTCAGACTATCCCTATTGGGGACTTGTCCGAAGCCGATGAGGCTTTTTGCCTGTTGAAGGTCCGGGGGCCCGGTGGGGGGGGCTAAGGTCCGGTGGGGGGGGCAGAAGTCCGGTGGGGTGACCGAACTAGTAAATGCCTCACAGCAATGTTACTCCTTTCTTTAAACGAGACCCAACTATTATCCCATAACAATGTTACCCTTTTCTTTAAACGAGACCCAACTATTAATATCCCACAGCAATGTTATTCCTTTCTCTAAGCGAGACAGAACCAGTAACACCCCACAGTAATGTAGCTCTTTTAAACGAGACAGACCAGTAGCACCCCACGGTAATGTTTCTCATTTTTTAAACGAGGCTGAAGAACTAATAAGATCCCTGTTTTCTTTAGTTGCATAGGCTAAATTGACTCTTCTAGGTTTGTTAGATGTTTCAAATTTTTCTTCCGTTTATAATTTCCTTAATCATCTTTTTAGGTTTTTCTAGATTCATTAGGTTGTTTACAGTTTGTTATTAGGTTGCTGAGGTTTTTTTTGCTTTGTTAGGTTCCTCCCGAATTTTATTAGATTAGGTTTCGATTTTGCTTACTTTCACTAAAATGTTCTTTAGTGTTTAGGTTTCTTAGGTTATTCTAGGTTTCTGATGTTATACTTACGTTTCTTAGGTTTCCTTGTGTTATTCTAGATGTCCTTTTAGTTGCTTAGGCTTATTCGTTGCTCATTTGCTTATTTGACTCCAGAATAGGTAACAGAATGGAGAGCTGTTAAACGAAATCGTTATGACGTCCTCTCAGTAATAAATTATTTTCTTGTTTATTTAGATAAAGATTTAGAACTCGGTCACGTGAAAGTTTCTTGCTTTCGGTCTCAGCTCATTCGACTCAGAAAAAAATTCTTAGCCGAATGAGTGCAAAATGACGTCATTATGACGTCATCCTGATGGTGTCCCTATATTGGATTTTTACCACTGGTTGAATGGCGAAAACGCGCCGAAGCGCTTTGGGGTAATACTCGCCCCAGATCCCATCGGGCATGACACACAGAGACTCCGAATTTACACCTCCACGTCCCATCCACCCATCCAGAGGGTTCGGGAGATCCACTCCACGGTCCAATGTGAGCGAAACGACAGCTTCCAGAATGAACATTCATGCGTCCCCGAAAACAGAAAACACAGAGCCCCCCGAACGCTGCACCAACTAGGTCACGGGTTGAACGGCGAAAACGTGCCGAAGCGCTTTGGGTTAATACTCGCCCCAGATCACATCGAGCACAACATCCAGAAACTCCAGGCTCCCCACCCTCAGGCCGCATGAATTCGGAATGCGAAAATGACGAATGCAAGCGACGGCAGGTTTCGGAGTCAGCGCGGCTCCCGAGCGCACATCCACGGTTTCCAACCTCACCGTTCCCAAAAGCAAAAACAGCAGAATCCCCGAACGCTGCACCAACTAGGTCACTGGTTGAATGGCGGAAATGCGCCGAAGCGCCTTGGGTTAATACACGCCCCAGATCACATCGAGCACAACGTTCAGAAACACCGAGCTTCCCGCCACCAAGGCCGACGAAGTCTTCTCCACGGGATGAATTCAGGAACCGATTCAACTCCATGATATGAGAGACGGATGAACAAAGCGAATCAGATCCACCAGATGAGTATGGCGAAGTGAGATGTTACACGGGTGCTAGAGAGCCTCCAGTGGCGGATGCTAGCAGAACCCGACCGTGAAAGCGCTCAGGACTTGTCCCTGCCAATCTGGCGTTAACCAGAATGGCAGGGCACGCATGATAGCACTCAACGATGACATTTAAGTAACGCCGCTCTATCGCTTCTTCGATACAACGTATTATGAATTTATGACGTACTGTCTGTGACAGTGTGACTGCTCCATAAAAACATTATTAATTGTACTGTAGGTGATGCACACACTCCTCACGAGGTGACATGGGATGATCAAACGCCCTATCAGCCAGTCCAGCTTAACTTTGTTTATAAAGGCGCATATGCGGCGTATTGGAGCAATGCCGCTGTTCTCGGAACTGGATTCATCGGTCTCGTTCTATATCAGGGACGCGATTTGCTTAGGCGGGAAACCGAAGCCTTGTTGAAAAACATCTACGCACGCCTGTGCATTGTTGCGTGCATATTCTCCGTGGTGGCAACTGTGTTTACCGTAAGACGATGGCAAACTGTTCCAAAACCTACTTAGAGAATAATGCGAGCGATTTGGAAATACCGTTTATCATGTCCATAGTAGCCTGCTTCCTGCATGTTCGCCTGGGTCAGCTGGTTTGTTTGCTCCTATTTTGACCCTGATGTCCGTGACGTACAAACATTACCATCCACCCGCGGTGTCAAACACGGGAAAATTTTGCAACAGTAAGTCAAGATCTGCACATTAGATTTTTCACAATATTAATCACCGACGAAGAAATCGTAAAAATTACAACCCAAAACACTTCTGTAAAAAATTCCGTTATGTTATGACTGTGGAATTTCAAATAGCGTACGAATACTGTTGTACTCGTACATTAATTAAGTGTCATGGTACTACAGAAAAGATCGTCTTTGAGCAAGGCAAATTTCGTGATATCCACAATGACCACGGTATACAATGGACACTAACGAAGCCCGTTGACAACGACAACGCCAACGCCAACATGCAAAATCCTCATCTTTTGGAAAATTTTCTACTTGTCTATCGGCAGCAAAGGAATCTACTAATAATTCTCGTTGGCGCTCCCAGCTGCGCAAACTGCTTCGTCGTGCACGCGATCCCAACGCCTTCAGCCGCATCACTATGCAGTCGTCGCGTTTGACCGGTGCATCGCTACCAGCTCACCCGTCGACTTTTGATACTGTCCGCCACGATGAATCGGGATGTGTTGTTGAAGAAACTTACTCCGAGATGACATCTCAGTACACTGACGTTTCGGGACAGCCATCGTCCGGCTTGACGATGCCCGACAGCGCATCGGATGTGATTAGAGGACTGATAAGTGAAAACATGAAACACCCAGCCGCGGATACTATCGAGCATAAGAATGAGGAAAATTTCAATCATTAATTTGGATGTAATAAGCATTTCTATTCTAATTTCTTGTGAAGATTAAATAAACATTATGGCTGCGAGCACGGGTAAACACAGGCGTTGTTGCTGGTGCACGGGCATCCTTTTGGTTTTCCACAGCTGCTGACTGCGGACACTGATAGTGCGGGCGCTCTCTTGTAAATGTACTATGCCACATAGTTATAGGAACAGTTACTAAAGAGCTCAATTCCTGTACTGATGACGGAGATCTCCATAAGCAGTTTAGCAAAGATGACTATTTTGGGTCGGAATGCACTTTGCTCTAGCAGTTCCATCAATAACTGGAGAAAACGCCCCATAGAATACGTACTTCCTAGTACTTACTTCTATTGTTCTCGTTAAATTATCTGGCGTGCAGCAAGCCGCCAGTCAACCAAACTCACTTTATTGTGTTTAAGCAGTTAGACGTGGCGCTCCGTAGGGTGAAGTTTGGCGTTACACGTGAATTTGTACGAGTTTGTTTCGCTGTATTGATTCGTCAGAAATTGACAACGGCACAATCGCTAATGAGGTGTGATTTCGGCACTATTGTGTCATTTGAGATGAGACGCTTCGCAAGGTTAAGCATATGCGTCTATGTGAAAAACACCAGTGCAGTCTACATTACAACGTGTACACACTCCTCTACTTGTTTTTTCTAAGTACAATCAAAGAGAAGTTATTCACCACAAGAATTACTACAAAACTAAACTAATCTTAAAAATTTTAGCCATACCAGCAAAATGTCCCACTCGGTTTTATGCAAAAGTAAATAATGTCCCAAGTTATAGCTCTTGCCATATACACGTAACCAAGGCGGCGACTTCGCTGTACTTGCATGGCTTTCGATTTACTCTTGTACAGAACTTGTGAAGTGCGAGCGTCATTTACTTATTGTTACTCGATTGTGAAAAACGATTTATGACAAGTTTAGGGCAACGACTTACAGAGTATGTGTTACATATCAGCACTTTTCTACAATTTATTAGTACCCATTTTTTAACTTTTATACAAAAATGAACTAATTTAGAAAAGTTTAAACGGATCGTTGGAGTTTCGCAAAACAGTAACTTTGTCGATTTTGCATAAACTTCCGCTCATTTTATCATAATTATATTGTGAAATGTTAAAACCGCGATCTTCAGGTACTCTGTAATATCAGCGATTTTGCTGCTTGATGTTTCGTTTAAATTATAAAAAGTATAGTAAAAATATAACAAATAGCAGTAACTAGCACTAACTACTAGCACCAGTTTCATATATATCCTGAAGATATCCCAGGCACCGCATGCCCGCCCTATGAGATCCAAACTAAACGTTTTATTTAGCGCGCGTTTTTAGATAATCTCAGCCATTAATCACATTTGATGACAGAATCATTCCATAATCTAAAACCATTTACTGGGATATGCTTACCGTTAGCACAATTCAAAAACAAAATATATTCACTTTCAAATTCTGCGCAGCATCGCACAACTACAGAGTACAGATGTAATATAACTTCGAAATTGAACTCCCAAACAGATATGCACAAGGCAGTGTCAACTGTCAAGTATAACCTTATTTAATTAACTATTGTTATAATAAATGATATTAAAAGAAAGATGACGCAAAAGCAACTTGTTAGATCGGATTCGGAATGGAGATTTGCATATGGTTGTTAAGAAAGTCCTATATGTCTCGCGATTCTGTTTCATCTGAAATGACAATGGCTAGGCACGCTACGCCTCGTATACCCTCGGCACGCCTGATTGTGCGGTTGTCAATTACCGGACAAGCTTGTATAGCGTGGAGTTTCCGTAAACTTAACCATATCTACAATGTTCAGTGTGTCCGAATTACTGATGGTATTGGCAATTGTGCTTTCTGTAATGTGTCATTTCAACATTGCTTGCGGTACAATCGTTTGAACTAAGGTCACATGTAAGTGCAATGAAACAGGATTTGTAGAATGGTGCAACTGCAAGTGAGGAAGACACTTACATACAGCCAGAACTTAATGCTAATGTAAATAATCTTGAGCCTGGAGTCATTACTTATTAGCATGTCTCACATTTTTCTATCCGCGTTATGGGGATAACGAGCGTCATACAGAAAGTTAGAATACGAAGAGGGCCTTAGAGGGCTACAAACGCAATAATTTGCGCAATCTAACAATTCGCAGCAATATGGGAATAGCGTATGGGCTTTAACATTTTTCCGCGTTGTCCTATTTTTGTTTTGCTTGGAAAAATGTTGCAGATTTTTTTACGGTCACCTTATTGTTTTAAGAAGGTCACACAAGGTCCGAAATAGTGTCCCCTTTGTCCACCATAGCTGCAAAAGTGCTTGTTTTACAAAATTCAATTAAGAGAAAAAATTTAATTAGTGGGGCTTTCGCTCATGCCACTCGTATTGCATCTTTAGTCACAGTCGCCAAAACACGTGAATGCGGCAGAAAACGCTGTACACTGCAGAACCTACGCAGTGCGGCTAGCATCTTGCCGAGAAACTTGCTACTATAAAAAGTCAGTAGTAGTACAAAGGGTAAAACAAACAGGATGGTTCGTAACGTACTTCGCACTTCGTACAAAGCACTTCGTAGTTATCGAGTACCCATTAGTGGGTACGTCGATGATAGCCACTAACCAGTTTCACTCGGAAAACTGCGCTGCCTGATGCGCTTTCTCTTTTTTTTAATTAGCAGCTTGTTTTCTGGTTGAAAGTAAAGCCGGATAATCGACAAAATTACTCTGAAATTCCCGCAACAGCGAACAACACACCCGAGGAGTGAACCCGTGGTACGGAGGCAGGGGCTTGGAAATTCAATTGAATTTACATGCGAAGCCTCTGAAAATACATCTGAAATGTCAGTCCAAGCTATATCTTGGTTGCATCAGGGTTCAAGGGTGTTTGCGCATGGTCGACCGTCGCCACTGGTCATTGATGAACAGCCTCCGCTTCTGTTTCTTCTTGGTGGAGGCCAAAGTGGGGGTGGCGGCAGGACGAGGGCCATAACGGTCAGGTGGGTTGCGCAACATGCGGTAGCGCTGCTGGACTCAGGCTCATCAACGGTTTGCTCGAGCCATCCGGTTTGCTCAAGCCATCGTTCTCGCTACATCTTTTGGACGATATATCGGACATCCTCGAAGATGGGGAATAAGCCCATGTCCCGACCCTGACCAGAAACGTATTCTGTTCCATCGACCAGCTGTGGGTGGTGCGCCATATATTCCAAGTGGTAATGGCCCAGGAGTTGGTTGGCAATTTCTCCACGTGTGAGGCCGAGAGGATGTTGTTTGGTGGTGAGCACTGTAAGGATAGCGTTCCGCCATTCCCAATAACCCTGCGGCTGCTTCCCGCCTTTGCGGTGGGAAAGTGTAGAAAACATCGGCTTTGGGCGTATGAGTTTGCAAGATGGCGCCCTCGTTGTATGCCATCTGGATGTACAGCCTCACTTTGGATTTGGACAACCATGGGCCGTGCCATTTTTCGACGAGCTGGTGGGCCAGGTTCCCTGTGGCGTAAGTTGTGCCCGTTTGGGACAACGCCTGTAGGGCGGCCTTAGCGTATGCCCATCCTTTGTCCGTGCTGGAAATCTTCATCTTTTTCGATGGATCTCCGCCCGGCCATTTCCTGGCCACCTTTGGTGTTGGTGGCGAGACATAATCGATGCGTAGCTTCTCAGGCCATGGATCTGGCAGGGTGTGGCGTATCTCGCCCGAGTCCGATTCTGAAGAAAATGTATCTCTCACATTGGCCAAGTCGGGTCGGGCACCACTCTGGTCACTGGGTTGAGCACCTTTTGCGCCGCCCTGGTCCTCCATGCTCTGGTCACCGGTAGGTGCCTGATTTTCGTCGCTTGGAGGGATTTCCGTGTTGTGGTCCTGTGGGACATTTATGGTCAATTTGCCAGGGCTTTGGTCATCGTCGTTTAAGTCACCAGAGTTGGACTTTTGGGATTCCATTTCCTGGTCCTCCTTTTCTTCCTCTGACTCTGGGTTCTCAGGTCTAGAGTCCTCAGAGTCCGAGTCGCTGGGTGGCGGGCTTGGCGACTTCTTCCCGTGCACCTTCTTTGCCGTGGTCTTTCGGCTCTTCGTGGAAGTGGCTGACGGGGATGGTGACGGTTGTCTGGACCGGCCAGCTGCGCTGGGCAGTGACACTGTGTCCCGTGGCGACGGCCGGGTTCCGGTCGTAAGCATACCTTCCGCCTCCTGTTCCTTCCGTAAAGCCATCTCCGGCGGGTAACTGATGGTCGCGGAGGTTTTTCCTGGGGTAACTTCTTCGGACCAGGAAGTTTGGCCAGTTGGGTCATATCGTGCACCTCTTTGGCCCTTCCTTTTAAGGTGTCTCCCTTTGGTCCTGCCGCTTTCTTTCTGCCCGAGTCCCTCTTGGTGCCTATGTCATGCGACACATACAGAAACCGTTGGGTCTTCTGCGGGATGAATTCTGGGACAGCAAAGCGTATAGTTTCAGCGCAGTGGGCGTTGGTGGTTTCCAGAGTTCCTTCTCTGAGCAACGCTATCAGTTCGTCACCCAGTTGGTTTGCTAGTTGGGCGAGATCGATCTGTCCTTTGCAATAAAGGGCGCCGATTGCCCTGGAGATGTGCAACAGGTTAGAACCTCTTGGGTCATGTAAGTACCCTATGGTTAGGCAGATCTGTTAGAAGGATGTATCTCGGCTGCGGGAGAGTCCAGCTGACCGGTGGGTCACGTTGATCTCTGTCATGCTTGTCCAGTCGCGGTGTGTGCGGACCAGAAGGCCCAAGTTGAGGATGAGAGTGACTACTCGTCGCATGAAGGGTGCCGTAAGTACACGGTCCGCTAACCGGAGTCCTCTGAATTCTTCGCCGAGCGCCATGCGGGCTCGGAGGACGCTAACGAGACACTGGTGTAGGTCTCGGCCCGTCTCTCTCCTGATGATCCTTGCGGCTGCCACCCATAGATGTGCGTAACCCGTTGGGATTTCGACGTGGGTAGCTTCTGGTCTTGGGTCTGGGAGTTCAGCTTCATCGTCCCAAGGTGATGGGAGCATGACTTCCTCTGAGGGTGGATCGCCCTCAGGAACTGGTTCAAAGTCTTCATCACGCCATAACGGGTTATCGTGGTCTCTCCCTAGAGGTTGTGATGGTCCTAAATTGTCCAGGGGTTGTGATGGCCATGGTTTGTCCGGACTATCCGATAGGACTTGGACATCCTCGTCGCCCGACAACCGTTTCTCCAGCTGGGCGATCTTGGCCTCGCGACTCTTCTGGCCTTTGGCCGCTTGTTTCTTCTGGCGATTTCGTTCAGCCTCTGGGTTCGTTG